CTTCCCTGTCGAACATTGAGTGTTCTCTCCTTATTCTTGCTGATGCTTTTACTAAACTTACCACAATCTGCATTAAGGCAGTTGATCTAAAATATATGTTGTTTCGAAACCAGACTTTAAACACCGCTGGAAATTGTTTTCACACACAAAAATCAGTTGTTTTCTGCTCTAACGCAGGCTCTTCTCGGCAACACAGATCAATGCATCCTAAAGATACGACCAGTCGTTTGAGAGAAAACCAAATCTTTTCATTGACGGAAAGCTCTTCAAAACCATTACATCGCAAGACTGCTTGACAACAAATTTCGCCTAATTCCAAGCAATGCTGGATTTAACTGACTCAGTTTTCCTGTACGTAAACTGTCTTTGGTATGTGAAGACCTATCTCACATATCAACGCATGAACAGATTCTGTTCGCCAACATTGAAGCAACTTAGACAGAAGCAAAAACGCGCCTATAAGTGTATGCCCAAATTAAATGACTTTTCTTTGGCAATAACAGATAATGCAATTAAATGGTTTATAGGTTGTAACTGTATTGGACAACCATAGTTGTCGCGATCCTTGGAGGCTTAGAGTAACAATGTAGTCAAATTCCCCTAAAGAGATTTGATAACACGGATCCAGACAAAGTTAGTGGTGCTAACTTTTTCTTCCCCAGAGGGTTTTTACTCCTTACTCACTTCCACGAACACAAGTACCATAGTTATCCTCGATTGCCTCTAGTTTTACAAGGATTCCAAGAAAGTGAACATCACAAAAGTTGCTTGACTTGATGCGTTATCGTCTCTTGGTCTAAGGAGCCACTCGGAATACCTCGCTGTGCCCTTAACCACACTATTCAACCTGTGTTTTAACAATAGCACTAGCCCTGATATTTGGAGACCCGCACGTAGTCTTAAAAGTATCGCCGACTGCCCATACGTCGGCGAGGTTGAAGGTCTTCAATAAACTATCACCTTTTCACACGCCACTACACATATTTTGTTGAGCAAATTGTTTATACACCTAACAGCTCCATACTAGTTGTTTCGTCGCATCTTGCATATTCTGTAGCATCTGCACCGGATGCAAAATATGTGGCAGTACGGCTCCTAGTTCACGTCTAAGCAAACGTTCTCTGAAGCTCCAAAAGATCGATACTCCTCAACCAGCTGCTTACATGTGGAGTTCAAGCTATCGTCTGCTGCATGATGAAGAGCTATATTACTAGCCCCATCCAGTTCACTAGGCCTACCGTAACGAAGTCCTTTACATTTTCGTCATCTATGGCGTTTTCTGGAAGTGTTCTCCCCTCCCCTCTACTTCCGTTATATACCGAAATCTTTCTATACCGTTCAACTTTATTGAATATAAATATCCTGGTGGTGTCGTTAAGGGGTGAGCTACAGCTACTGTTGAGATTTACTCTTCAGGGTGGTCTGAACGAGTTTCGCTTTGGTTGTCGTACCCGTCTCTCATTCTGCCCAGTTCTTACTGTTGCAAGTTAATAGTCTCCGTTCTGAAAACAGCTAAGCTACCAGTTACTTTGAATGTCACTTCTTCACTGGCAGTGAATGCCCCTCTCATAACAAGATGTCAGGTGACAAATACCTAAGGGACATTTTGTCCCTATACCCATATGGATCTACTCTTGTCACATAAATGTTTTACAAGGTTTGAAGGCTATCATTTTATGCCCTCAGACTTAAAATACTATCGGTACCTCACGGTTTGTTGCTGAAGGTTGCCAACATATGCTTTTTGTCGCAGTGGCTTTACTGTACTTCTGTAAGTTTTCCTAAACTACTAAAAAAGACAACGCATTGTAGCTAACGCTTATTTCTAGAGGCAGTAAATTGCCTGGAGTGGCCCTCTCGTTGCTTTTGCTGTTAACATACAAGTAGATATGTGTAACAGCTTTTTGTTTAACTTTCTGAATGACCGTTGCCATCACTATATGGTGTGATATCAAAAAGACTAATCTTTTTCTCTACATGGCCTAAATTAAACGATTTTCGCGTACAACTTCTTGCCACAATCCTACTATATTGCGCTTGTCGCGATTGCCAGTAAACAAAGAAAGCAATCAGTATGGTGCGCAATTGTTTGCTTTGATGATACTTGCTTACATTTTGGACTAGACAAATTGTTTTCACCCATTTATTTCACGAGTTTCTCCATTCATAGTGCTAGATGGGATAAAATGTTGAGCACCCACCTACCCTAGTGTACAAAGCCTACTTGGACCTGGCTTGACCACTGAAGTTTGGTTTAAAAAAAACATGGAGTTCACTCCACATTTTGAAAGAGAATACAGCCGAATATAGCATAGTAAGGGCAAGAAAAGGGATAAGTCATATGCTCTCTCAGATAACCATTGGAAGTGAGAAAGACCGCAAGTATACCAACCGATGTTCAACAAAAACATTTTTGGAAGGCGATTGTTGTAAAAAATTAAGGAGAACTCATTTGGATACATATATATCTATATATTTCTGTTAAGAAGCACCTAAATAAGTATAAGATATACTTCATTTCTTCTCTAAATAGTATCAGATGGAGATATGCTTTCGGGAGTCCTCAAGGATTGCTGTTAAATGAGGTTGGTTTGCGAAAGTTATAGAGGAGACCCAAGGTCTGCGTTAACGAACTAAAGGATGATATTTCGATTGAAAATATGACATTAGCTTTCTTACTTTCTCGCTATATTTATGATAAGAATAACCTTCGCCTAAGTTGCTTCCATTGGATAAACGCGAAAATGCCGTAGATGGTCCGAAAGGCAATAGGCTGCATTTTAATCCACAAACTACCGGACCATTGCAAGATGTTTCGAAAATTATTCATGAGTTAGCCTGTAGTTCGATTTCAGCTTCCTAACTCAGGGTGGGAGACGGCACTTGATCATTAATCGATCCATCTCAGGCACCTGTGAGACTACGCTCCAGAAAACAAAAACCGAATACTACACGTTACTAACAGAAACAAGCCTGCATATATGTTTGATTTTATCGTCAAAAATATGGTTGGATTATTAAAAATCAGGTCGTACATTTCTTTCTTATGCTACTCTATGAACACTTTATTGTTAAGTATCTTTAACTATGCAGTAGCGTTCTTAGTCAGTAGACTAGGCATAATGCTGCTTTAATGTGCCAGAGTTAGCACGGAAAGAATAACAGTATAAGGAAAATGAAATCTACAATTTGCTTAACGTGCGACTCATAACTGGTGCTTACGTTGAAATAAATCACAGTTGGATTAAGTAGAGGATGAATGTCCCGCTTACGTTAAAGCCCGTGAGAAAGAATGATAACTAAAAATTTGGGATAGAATATTACGGAGCAGGGGTGTTGCGCTTGGGATTACTGAAAATTAGATGCTGTTAGTGAACCGTATTAAACAGCATTAAGCTTCGCATGGTGTAACAGACTACGACCGATATATCAGTGGTATGATGATGCAAACAAGTGTCCGGATAGAAACGCTTAGCAAAGGGTGGAATGCCGTTTAGGTCCTCTGTCCAGAACTGATTACTAGGTGCGAATATTAATACCTGGAATTTCTCTGAAGTCATATCATAAAGTCTGAATAGCATAAAAGGGCACCGTAATGAATGCTATGCCTACTCCGGGTGGTCAACGTGCGACGAATTTCGAGTTTCACATATTAGCAATGACGTCTACAAGCCTGGAGAGACAATATGATAAATTAAGTAGATGTTAACATCATCATCGTTCAGGTGTTTAATGATGCAACTCCATTCGATGGGATAATTATTAAACGTTTATTTGGCATAGTTAGCAAAATGGAAGGAGAACTACGACATCTCTACTACTCAGACTCGAAGGCTAGCAGAACTAATAACCTACTGTTTAGCTTACCGTTCCAAGCGTTTGGCAGATGATATTAGCGTGTTTCTTGTTAAGTTGGTACTATCTAGGTACCAGCAGTGAACATATAGCATTATGTAGAGACATTCTGGCACACTCTACCCAAACCTTTGCAATTCACAATCCCGTTTGGTTCTCGTTTGAGATGTTTAGGTAACTATAAGCAACAACATAAATAAAGCCGGTGAATTGCTTTTCAGGACTGAATCTTTATCGCTGGCTTCCGTACTCCGTAACCAGAGCAGGTACTGGAAACCTGCTTCATAAAGTAGTATAGTTAATGAGGTCCATGGTAATTGGGTCAACATCCACGTAGTCGTAACGCAACATATTTATTTAAGGAGACGAAAACCCGAAGACTTTTGCTACGGTGATGGTTCGCTTTGTGAAAATTATGAAAGTAGATTCCAAAGCCTCCATTACTGTCTACCTTGAGTTGTCTGCAACTCGACTGTAATTTAGTTAGAATACCATATGCGTAGGCTATTCTATGAGGGCGCATTACTTGGGATGCAAGTGACAGAGATGTCGCAAAACACTTAATCCCTTTTGTTTCACTTAGAGATTAGCGCGTGTGTCTGAACTTCAAAGAACGATGATATGGTGTAATAATTGGTATTGGTATGTAATACGTAAACACAAAATATGGCTTAAACAGACTGGTCGCACAACAAAAGGAGCAGTTTGGTTGGCAATAGTGGTGAATCTATTGTCCCTTAAGACGGTGCGAAGGGATAGATACAAAGGTTATAACCAACAAAACCTGTTAACTGTTTGAACGTGCACAAAATACCAGCATAAGGACAAATCGTGGTGCATTTTAACTTGGTACATCTATAAAATTGGCTAGAGTAAAGACATCTTACTTGTTAGCTCTTTGTGTACTGAACCGGGATAAGAGGTCGCAGAATATTGCTGCATGATGGCTATATCAAACGCCGTAGCAAAGCCTTAGATGACCGTGACGAGAAAGCCAGTTACTGTGAAATCGACATGGCAAGATTTTATATCATTATTAGTCGGAAAACCTTAAGCTAGGATTGAACCTATAAACTAGACCTAGTGCCTGGCAATAAAATTACTAGTTAAGTACCATTGGAACAACAAATTAGGTCATGACATGCCTTTGTTTTTATCACATGCCTCTCTGCAGCCCGTTTCTTCTCTCTTTCTCTTCGTAAAACCTTCTCTTCTTCTGCTCGTTTCACGTGCTCTTGTTCTTCCAGCTCCAAAATTTCAGCCTTGTGTTGCCTCCACCTGTTTACCTAAAAACAGCTCGTGGATGATTATTTAGCGGAACGTGGCAAGCATGAATACTGAATAATAGAAGAAAGCAACAAGAAATGTTTCGGTGCAGATGCATTTTTAGTCCCTCAGGTACAATGACTTGTTCTATTGGACAGCATTCGCGATATTTCATGTTTCTAAAGTGTTTGTCCATGAATCTCTTGAATTCCGACACCGAGTTCGTCTCGACTACGTGCGGCGGCAGGTTACTCCATAAATACACTAATCACTGCTGGCAACATAGTTGGTGGGCGACCTTCTTCAAATCCGGTACAACAAGCTTGTACCGGTGTCGTCATGTGCTGCTTGGTGCATACATTTTGAGCAGCTGCCTCAACATGGTGTAATAATCAAGGGGTACTTTTCGTTGCGTCAAGATGAGGTTAACCCGCAACGGACGATAAGACGAGGTGAAAAGTCCTAGTCTCTTGTACCAGCCTTCGTTCCGCACACCACATAAAGTGCGGATGAGCCTTGTGGCCACATGCTGTACCCGCAAAATACTATGTACCTCACCCCGGCTGATAGGACATTAAACAGGTGAGCCGTACTGTAGCATTGATCGAATGCTTGAAGGAGAGAGGCGAATAGAAATTCTTCGGACCAAGGGCTGAAGTTGCGCTTGAGCCTCCAAAGCAAACGAAGTCCGTTTTGGTAAAGCCTATTCGTGTTGTCCACGCACTTTACGTCGCAGCACGAGAGTACACAGAGGTCTTTCACGAAAGCCGTGGGATGCAATGGTTGACCGGACACATTTTATCTTCGACGATGTCCACCCTTACACAGCCTCATAAATATCGACTTGACGGGTTTATGGGGAGTTTGACCTCTACAGACTACATGGAGAAGCGGTCAAGTTCACGCTGAAGCAGCTCACGTTCATTGGGTGCACTGATTATTCTCCACACCTTCAGATTATCTGCAAACAACGTACAACGTGAACGGAGAAGCTGTAGAGCATCGTTTAAATGGATCAGGAACGAAATGGACCCAAGCACAGTGACCTGGGGCATGCCACTGGTAGACCAATACTAGTCGACCAGACGGTTGTCGATCTGGACCTTGCGTGACTCGGCCAAGAGTTAAACCCCGATGTTGAGGTTGACAGGCCGACATACACACCACTAGACCACAAGTGAGTCTAAGGAGACTGTCCTTCTGGTTAACATGACGGTGACCACCGAAGTAAGTGATACTAGGGAATTCATTCAAGAGTCATTTGCTAGGAGTTTCATCGACAGCTGGCCTGAGCGCTCCAGCGTTTTCACTAGCGTGATACCGTAGGCAGTTAGTCATTGACAATATATAGATGTCGATAAACACCATACGATAATCTACAGGTGCGTGCAATTAGTAACAATAAGCTAAGGCTAACTGATAGCCATGTTCTTGACCGTCGTGTTGCCAAACATTGGCATGGGAGCCGCAAACACCCGGTGCATAAAGCGGTAAAGGTCCCGGGTTCAGTAACCGTTTTCTCTACCTGATGTGGTTAAATAAGATCGAAACGGACTCTGCAGTGTCGCGTTTGTAAGCGGGAACGCAGTTTCCAACCATTCACCAAATTATCGCATGGGATGCAGGGGCTAGATAGCCAAAATGCTTCTATGTGGCGCCAGTCGGGTAACTGGTGCTTATCTAGCTCCAGCGAATGATTCAGCAGTAGCATTTCAGGATGATGGTTATACACAAGAAAGCCGTAAATATCCGTTAAATGAGAGGTGGTAGACCAGAATGGTCAAAAAACACATAGTAAAATTACTGTCAAATGCATCTTCTTGGTGGGGCATCCAGCTCCGGAAGGGTAACGCCGGGTGTATTGGGCACTTGCTTGACAATTCACCAAACTGATTATTTATGAACTGAAAAATCAGTCCCTTGATCCCAATACACGACATTCCATGACTTTGCTTCGCGCACTTAACTATTTTCCTAAACGCTAATTGTAGTGCCATTTTAGGGTAATTCCCACTTTGGCGTGGACAAATTAGTAGGATCGTGACCTCTAACGTAATCATAAACAGCTCTATGGTGAGTTCGGTCCCTTTTTTGAGAGAACTGTAATTTCTTTTGATTTTTGCGGTTCCTAATGGTTCTGTTTATTCGCAGATTACTATATATATATATATATATATATATATATATATATATATATATGCGGCATCCGGTTTCCGATGTGCATGTCACTGAGGCCAGCCACAGGACGCCTCCGCCTACAGAGGGACCATGGGCGTCTTGCGCCGCACCACCCACAGCTCCACCCACACATCCCATATCCAGTGTAAACCCGAAGGAGTAAGACAGGAAGGCATGTGGATGGGAGCCACGTTTCATCAACGAAGCCGGCCCACACTCCTTTACAGGCAAACACAAACAAGCTGTAGTTGGTAATCCAGCTCACAAGAGGCTTTGGCTGGACTGTGGTCCGCTCAACACTGAAGGCATGGAACCACACCTCGAGACTAACAAGGCCAAGTGGACCGTGCATCCCCTCCCTTCCAACAACGATCAACACTATCGTGGAGCCAGTATGGACTAGATAGTGAGTAATAGACAGGTAGGCACGTTGTCAACATGCACATCAAGCGCTGCCACACCGGGGATATCAACCAACAGCCAATCTCTTGAGACGACGGCATCAAATAAAATAAGTCGAATGATGCATACAGATATGCTGACATAACTCTTCACTAAATGAGCACACGAAATAAATTAGTTACCAACAAATTTACGATAGGCTCAATATGTCAGAAAATGCATTTAAAAATGCCACGAATGCGAAAATGTTAGCGAAGGTAACTACAATTAATTTACGCGACCTGCGCAAGTTAATAGAAGACAGTTCAGATGCTGACGTTCTCAGCAAAACCGTCGTCGTTTCTGTGGTAGCACCTAGTTGTCTCCCACATGGCTCACTGTGCCTGCCGAACTCAGACACACGCAATCGCATGTGCTACGGCACCATGCGCTCGATGTCGAAGGAGCACAGTCCATCGGCGCCTACCACGTCCGCAGTTGCCGCTTCCGCACTTTCCGCTTGTTCTCCGCATGCACCGGGGCTTTCTCTTACACGGCAACTGCTTTCGTGATCAGATCGCGCCATGCACGCCGATCAACCGTCTTCGGTTCCCATGACCTGCAATCGAGGTTAGAACGTGAGAGGTTCACTTTGATCATGTGTAGATAAAGAAGCTGCGGTTTCCCCGCATTCCGCTTCCACATACAGCTGAGCAGATAATAGTTGTTTAGGTATCGGCGTCGAATTCGTAGGACTCACATGACCCAGTCCCCTCACGTCCACGTTTCGCTGCCGTTTAGAAGAACGGACAGCACCATGGATTTTGTACACCATCAGCTTCGTGACAACGGTTAGCTGATGGCTGTTCCACACCCGGTACTCTAGCTTCCCGAATGCCGCCTCTGCCTTCGAGACGCGGATACGAAGCTCATTATGTGTATGTGCGTGCGTGCGTACGTGCTATTTCATGCGTGCGTGCGTGCGTGCGTGCATGCGTGCGTGCGTGCGTGCGTGCGTGCGTGCATGCGTGCGTGCGTGCGTGCGTGCGTGCGTGCGTGCGTGCGTGCGTGCGTGCGTGCGTGCGTGCGTGCGTGCGTGCGTGCGTGCGTGCGTGCGTGCGTGCGTTCGTACTTGCTATTTCATGCGGACGTACGCGAATAGCAGAATAGCTCCGATTGCTAACCAGGGAAAACCTGAGGTCCCGGTTCCGAAAAGCTGTGGCTACACACCGCACATATCAATCGCTTGCATAGTCCTAATGGCTCTCGATATAATAGTTGAAACAGAAGAAATCACCGTTTGTTGCCATTACAGCCAGGCGGAGGCCTATAACCATGGCCTTGCTCTTTTGTTCCATCTGCAAAATTACTTGCACACACACTTGCGGCAATTTTGCGTTTTTTTCTACCCAAGCCGTACAATCTCCAAGACCATGATGATCACTACTCTTGATATGTTAAAATTCCTAGGTGATTCTACTCCACTGGACGTCACGGTTTTGCAGTCAAGCTGCACAAATAGACTGAATTGGATCTACAAGAAGCGCAATAATTTTACTAAAAACGTAGCGTTGGATGGAGGGTTGCTTTACTTAAGAAAACATCGCAGATAACGAGTATACCCATTATAATAAGCACAAACGTCCAATCAATTATGAGCAAAATGGATGAGATTAAAAGAAAAATTCGCTGTCATGAATACGCGAAGCTTGGCGTGATTATGCCTCACGAGACGGCTCCATGAAGACGTTGACGATGAGGTTGTAGCGATCGAGAGGTTGATTTGTCATCGTGTCGACCGGTCAAATCTGTAAAAGAGCTGCGGAGGAGGTGTCAGCAGTTATGTCAATCCTGTTTGGTGCACGTCAACAAGTTGGATTAGTTTTTCCTCTCCAGGCATTAACGGCTTGATTTTGAAAAGTAAACAAAGCTGTTTTAGTGGATACTAATCGATCTTGCTTGCAACTATCGACATTGCCCTAAGTTGTCCCGCCGGATGCCGAGGAATTTCACGATCATTTCACTCCAGGTGTTATTAACCACATTGATTCTTCCCTTTTCATCTTTGCTGGTTAATTTTACAGATTTGACACCACTTTCTCACAGACCTTGGGCTGCGAAACATTGCAATCTCCCCCCATCAGATTTGAGGCCAGTATAGACCTTACATTTGTTAAAATAGAGAACCAGTTTTTGTGTTCATTCAGGCACCGGTTAGTAGTTCTGACCACTCAAATATTAACTCAACTCCCGTCATGTACAGCAAAGTAAATCATAAGGATATTACTAGTTATAAAGACCACAGGCTTAAAAGGAGACAATATTCACCTGAGAACATATATTGACTCCAGCAACGGATTTCCTCCACAATGTTACCATATTTTGACAACGTTATATTAAATACTGCGACCAGTTAACGAGCTACATCAACTTCTGTTTTGATACCTGCTGTCCACTGGAAATTATTCTCATCGGTGCGGATGGGTTTTCATCTCCATATCTAAAACGCTTGCGTGGAGTCAAAGAAAAAGCGTTCAATACGAAAGACAACGCAACGGTGAAATCTTCTTCTATGTCTATCAAACTGAGTTGCGTCGTCTAAAGCACCTATAAGTCCAGACCATACTGGGAAGTAGTGGCTGCCGGGATGTTCGTCGTATGCTGAAACATTTTAATTGTGTCTCTAACCTAATGTCAAATACAGATGTAAACCTGGAGGAACTGGATCAAAACTTCTGCTGCTTTAATTCTAACTCCAACTTTCACTCTTCCTCCTCACGAGTGAATCAGCCCACAACCTCCTTATTTACCATTGACATAAATACAGTGTGCAATATACTACTAACTAAATTCCCACAAAGCAATTGTTCCGGACGGACTATCACCCGTTGTCTTCAAAGTGTGTGCCGATTCGTTGGTTCAGTCTCTTACTGACCTACACACTTTGTGCATGAAAGAGTGTAACTTTACTGACTGTTGGAGAAGTGCCAGAATTACAACGGTGTCACAGAAAGGCTCGGATAAATACCGACCAATTGCTTGCACCTCGGTAAACTTGAAGCTATTCGAGAAAAATATTCTGTTAAGTTGCTGAAGCAGACGCACTCAGATGATCCGCTACAGTGTGCTTATCGTAGTTTGGGGTCTACTCAAGACGCACTAGCCTAGCTTGTACGTTCAGTGCTGTCGTCACTAGACAACAAGGTCAAATCCGTACACATGTGTTTTCTCTATTACAGTAATGCTTTCGGCACTGTAAACCGTGAGCTTCACGTGAGTGAGCTGCACGTTGCCCGAATTCAAATATCTACTGTCCACCAGTTGAGAGACTACTTCGATGGACACGCCCAGTTTACTCGACGGAGGTAAAACTTACTCGCCACTCACTACAGACACTGGTGTTCTTCAAGTGGCTATACAATCTTCATCATTCTTTTCCATCTACATCGCATCTTTACCTTCCCCTGCCGATACGGTATTGCCGAAATATGCAGACGACGTAGTCTTGAGTATGCAACAGCCGACCGCAGCCTCATAAACTAAAACACATGCCTATGGCGCAGAGCTCACCTTTTATCACTGAATGCATCGGAATGCAAGAACGTCATTTTCTCCCTACATAAAACCTATGATTATCAGCAACTCCTCATGGAACCCCACAAAATTCGCATAGATGGCAAGAATTTGCATTTCGGTGTGTCAGTAAAGTGCCGAGGTGTAACATTCAGTCGCGATATTTCCTAGGCACTCCACGTTAAGCATGTTGTTACAAAGGTGAGGTTTTCGTTCTGCGCCCTTTGTTTGCGATCCTCCTCTGAACCCCGCCACTTAATTCTGTGATTTATCACCGCATATGTATTACCCCACTGTTATATTTCCTAGTTTCCGAAGGAAGCAATTCAAAATCCTAGGTAGATCACTGACGCAATTATCTTGGTATAGTGGAATTCAAAAGCCGACCGTTTTTGAGATTCTTGTGTCCGCTGATATCAATTCAAGTCAAAAACTTGCTTCGAGGATACTTGTTGATAACAGTTACCATCTTCATAGCGCACTGTCCGAGTGTGTATCAACCTCATCAACCAAACAAAAGTGTAGATCGCTTTTTGCCCGTACAAGGGCATATCACTCATCTGTTTTCCATATCTGGCATGTTTTTTGTGCGACCAGACATCAGTTGTCCTGGAGCTTAAAAACAACTTTGCTGTGTATGCCACTAATTAATCTACTTGTATATGCACTGCTTTATCTCGTTTACTATGCTGAAAGCGTGTGTGTAACAGCTGCATATTCGCCCTTCTGGGTGCATAAAGCACCTTCTTGGATTGAAAAATAATTAACTTAAAATTTTAAGTACGCAGTGTTTAAAAGATGAGCCAACTATTACTGACTCAGATGACACTGACAACCAGTGTTCCTTCTTTACGGTTGGCCTAACTTCCCCGATGTGCATGACATCGAGTAACTACATACGTAAGGGTTAGTGAAGCGTTTTTCTCATACCACTTTTGCAACCTTATAAGCCTAATATTTCGCGAATATTCGTGGTGGCTATACTCAGCCAGACAGCCACCACACATCCCGGAAAGCGTTAGACGGCCGTTTTGTATTGTTGGGATTCGTCGGTAGCGCGCATCCGTCGGATTCAAAATAAAAGCCACTACCACTAGGTAATCGCCTTAGCAGCTTACATGCCACTTCGATTGGTGACGACTTGCAAACGAAGTTGGAGCTCTGGTGCCAGCACTGTCCTCTATACGTACGTAACATGCATGACAGTGTAGGGTGAGTCGTGTTATCTGGCAGGGAGGTATCAGTCATGGTAGTCGACCGCCGTTACCCTTGGTTCAGTAGCATAAGTAGATGGCTGGTGATAGTATGATCGTGGCTTCGAATCCGGCGGGATCATGCGAGTGCCCGCTCCTGGCAAGTCTCAATATGACGAAACGGTTGTCCAGTGCTTTTCTGGATGTGTGGTGGCTGTCTGCTTGAGTCTAGCTGCAACGAATTTCCTTGAAAATCAGATAAGCCCCTTATTACTCATTACTTGATTTCGCCTTACTCTTATTGTTATCTTATTTCCTGGTCCGGGTCCTGCAGATCAAACAATGAGGTTCTCCTGCTAGGTTTGATAACTCAGACCTCTTGTTACTTATTATATATGTACGGGTCAACCCTGATAGAGTGCAGTTTACGAGTAAGCACTAGGAACAATAATAGGTGAAGTAACTCGATCCCCGAAACACTGTCTTCCGATGCAATAACTTGTAGCTATAGTTTTTTTAAGTTGCACTAGCTGCATCAACTTAGAAGCGATAACGTACATGCTACCGCTAAGTTTTGCACCAAAATTATCATGTTTTCATCACCTGATGCTTCAATAAATGACAGATTTCTTGTTGTGCTTTTTGCTGTTCTCGTTTAAGTTGCCTTTGTTCCGTGCGTTTCGTGGCTTCCAGTAGTGAAGTTTTAATCCGAAGACCCAATTGTTCACGTGCTCTGATCCAAGAGCGTTTAACGTCACAGGCCCTATTTCGTAATTGTTTGGTACGTTCGCAGAGTTCCATTAGACTGTCCTACAAGAACAGTTAGTGTGATTAGTTAGTAGTTGTCCAGGGTAAAACGAGTCATTAAAATACAAACAAACTGGGGCAGATAGCAATCACTCAATAGTCCGAAGGCCCCTTTTAAGTCGAAACACCATGTCACTTACTTTGCCTTCCATCTATCATCATCACACACACCCTCGTATTCCAGTCGACCATGAAGCATCTGCTAAATAACTAGTAAGCGCCAAGAATACAGAGCAGGAATCAAACCGGAAATCACCTGGCAGGTCACAGTGCACTGAAACAGTCAGTGAAAACTCAATAAATATATCACATTTGACATCGTGGAAAACGCTGGGAATTTATCTTATCATTAAAACCCAGCTAATGTATTCCTTGGCTTGGCTTTTAACACAATGGCTTTCGCAGAGAGATTCTTACCGGGGCCATTTGATTACAAGGCAGACGCCTCAAACTTACGGCTACGGGAGGATATACAATATATGATTGGCGGCATTTATTTCCAGAGTAACCAGTAAGTAGGTCTGCGAACAATCACAGGACACCTGCGCCTGCTTAGGAATCATGGGTAGGTTTTGCTGCACCATCCAAAGGTCCGTCCACACATCCCTATCCAGTGTAAATACGAGGGAATAAGACCGGGATGCATGTAGACGACAACCACGATTGGTTCAAAGGCAGCCTACACTCATTAAACATACACATCATTAATTCGTTGAGCAAACACACAGTGCCTTGGCTCGGCCGTAGCCCGTTCTACACTGGGTGAAACAGCTCTTCAATCCTAACACCCCGTCTCCCACAGCAACAACTAACTGCCTCCTGGGACCATTCTAAACGAGGGGGCGCTTTAGCAGGTAGGTGCCTTGCCATCCTTCACACCAAGCGCAGCCACACCGGGGATATCAACCAAAAACATTGAAAATGCAAGAACATGGATACACGGTTAAACATACAGACCTATTGCAGCGATGATGCAGCACACTTGCCACAGCAACTGCATTACTGGCCTGAGTAAATAAAGGGAATCGGAAGTAGTGTAATTACCAAGCGTTGCGCTGATGTTTACCCATTCAACTTACTCATCGCCTCTTCAATATTGCCCCACGTGGCCACCTTGAGAGTTAACTAGACATACTTGGCTGAGGCGCGCACGACCATATTTGCTACAGCACTATGCGTTTGATGCCGATGGGCTAGGCTCCATCGGTGCCCCTCTCTTCCGTAACCGGTGGTTTTCTTCCTGATGCAACAGTGCTCCCTCGTGCATCCGAGCAACAGCATACTTGAGGCGTTCAAACCATTTGCCGCGGTCCACTACCATTGCTTCTCAATACATAAAGCCAGAATTAGTTCGTGATAAACGCACACTGATCATTTCCTGGTACCGGAGCTTCGGTTTGCCCATGTTCAGCTTCCCAATACTTAATTGACTATATAGCAAGTTTTCCAGGATTATACTTAAATCTGTACGTTGGACATGTGCTACCCACAGCTGGTGCCGCTGCAAAAGTTTGCAGTCCATTGCATACATGCTACTTTGGTGGAACACTTCCGTGTCAGGAACGCTGTTTCACCCACAGACACGCAACATCCGACGCAGGCACTGTTGAGTAAAGCTCTTCTAATATATACTGTCCTGCAATATCTCGGAATATGTTTGGAACCGACTGGGATTTCCTGATTGCAGAAAGTTTTGAATACAAAGCGGTGTTGGTATGGTTTTACGGTGGCAATATGCTGCCCTTCTTGCAGAGCGTTCATAGTTCGCGCCGTAATGAAGAACCAACAGCATCATGAACTTTTACATTATCGGCTTGGTCCCAACGATCAGCTTGTGATTATGCCAGATCCGATGTTCCACCACACAAATGAAGCACTCACCTTCTCTAGTCTGATGCTCAGCTCGTTGGTCATCTTTGGATGCTTTCACAGTCAGCTCCCGAGGTAGTAAGATTTCGATTAACTGTACAAAACACCAGCGTCATTCTTGATTTGCGGGCGGCTCACGGATTTCATCTCTGTTGCCGGCTACAAAAGACATATGTCGACGGTCATTCCGAATTTGGCCACCGTCAAAGCAAGAGCCGCCGTCATGTAAACAATGCGGAGTCATCGGTAAACAACAACATCGGGAGGGTTGTTTCACGCATTCGGATTCTTGGGCCCAAAATACGGGTATTTAGCAAGCAACCATCAAACGGTACTCTAGACAGACTCCGAAATCACAAGTAATGTAAGCAGTCGACATTATGGCAGTTGGGTAAATATTAAACAGGTCAAGGCTAGGACAGAGCATTTCATCGCTCCAGAGTCAACAACAAAGTCATTTGAAGTGTCTCCACTCAGCACCATCCTCACCCGCCTACCACTGTGCAGACATTCTATTAGAATTAACAAATTACTTCGGCAATCACGCTTAGCAAAACAGCCATAGCGCCTCAAAGTTTCACCGTCTCAAATGCTTTGGTGTAGTCTACGAACAGCGAGTAAAATGGCTGGTTTCGCTCATGACATTTCTCCTGCAACTGACAGACCGCAAACACCACATCTATCGTGCTGCAGTCAGAACGAACTTCTTATTGCTCTTCAGCCACGTTTGGTACTACAACGTGAGTGACGAAGCGGTCGAGCAAGACTTAAACGAGCACCTTCTTAGCGTTTTATTTGACAGGTTTTTACTTCGATTCAAATAACCAATGGTTACCACGTCCAGTAAGTCTCCAAATATTGTATTGCAACAAATTACCACGTACCAACTACTCACCGAACTCCGCTTGGATAAGAGGGCCCATCAACGAGCTAAAAGCCGTTAGTGCACTGTGTTGCCAAAGCACAGCATTGGATAAACGAAAACTGGAACATTGTATTTCATGGGAATAAAAGCTCGAGCTTTACATGACCCATAGAGAAAAAAGTTCGGGTCGGGTTTGATGAAAGACCAGGCAACCTTATAGAGGGTTGGACTCGCGTGTTAGCAGTATCTTCATCGGGCTTATGCGCCATTTAATCAGAACGCACGCCTGCTCAAAGTGTGACATTTCACCACACCCTCGAAACGGCTATGGAAAGGAATTAGGAATCTCAGTAGAAGCACCGCCGAGTTCACTGCAACGTTTAATAAATCAAAAAGGCCCGTGATATAGTGCACAAATTCTATCAAAGATTTCACAGCTGGCTAATCCAAACACACCGTCATCGATGGAACACATAGGAAACGCTACTGCAGTGCACGTACTAGTACTTTATCAACCGGACAAATCTGTTACACATTTCATTTTAAAACGAATTGTTGCCATAGATTGTGGGTCCCCAGCAGTAGATTCCGAGGCTTAGTAGCTACTATCTGAAGGACTTAGCTAAGATTGGTAGCTTGACTGTCGCCAGTAACATTTTAGTCCGAAATCTCCGGTATCTTTGAAGTATTAGTTAATGTTTCTTAGCTAATATCGAAGGCATCCTTGAACACGCACTGTTTTCGAGGTTCTAATCCAAACTCTGTTTATTCCAACCTGTAATAATTAAACGGGAAGAAATCCGATGCGCACTTCTAGATTGTGAGGACAAGATACCTACTAGTTTTCTGCTTCATATGCATTTCCTTCAAAAGCATGGACTGAAGCCCACCTTAAAGCAAGCTTTGGCCCAACATGAACTTGTATATGACAATTGGGTACTTCAAGAAAGCCTAAACGACACACCAGTGACGAATCTCGAATGCAAGAAACGGACAGATAGTGATTTTTCAGATATGCAGTAGCCTTCCAACTGAGCGTCGCTATGACGAATCTCTATCAAAAAGGATAATTTGACTGCTTCACCAATCGCTGCTCACACAGCTCAGGGGGTGTACAAGTAAGAGATTGAATCGCCCTCAGTTAATTCGCAGTTCGGTTATCTCCGACTCAGCGATGAAAACTGCTGCGAAATCGGTGCTGACATATAGCGTTTGGGGTAAAAAAAAGTTAACGGCTTCGAAAAAATCCTGGTAATCGCAGTAACTGAGGTTTGTTTCAGAGTGAACGTCAGTCTAATCTATAAATGTGCCACATAGTACACATGCGGTGGACTAAAGACAGACACTACTGCGCCAGTTATCAGTAGTGTGGTGCAAGGATGTGAAACAGTAACCAGCCAACAGCAGGCCGCAATGACTCCCTCGAAGGAAAGGACACTTTGGAACCGCAGTTGTATGCGCGTGAGGAATGGCCGAATAAGCAATGTGCACCGCACAACTACTAGACACAGAAAGAAACCCGCGCCATGCAATCTCCAAACGGCATAACAAAGAGAGGTGGATGTCTAGTTTGTCGGAACGGATGCACTTAGTTATGTCTGCATAATAAACAATTCCGCTTGCACTTTGGGTTCTTACACACACACTTAGAGTACCCAAAAAACGTGGTACTCCGAAACAGGGTTCAGCACAAGTATGGTTTTCGGTTGTTTAGTTTATTATCTCAAACATTTATTTAACATTGGTGCGAGTAAGGTTCAGGGGACCGCATTTTAAGGCAAAGACAGTTTGTGAAGTAGTTGATATTGGTCAGATGTGGTGTTTGTGTAATAAATATACTTAGTAGGGATGAGAATTGGTGTGTAACAAATCGCTTAGAACCCTTGAGCAAATGCGTTTCTACCGGAAGCAACAGAAACGAAGTCGGCATTGGAAAACGGTGCTATCTACAAACAATTAGCAACCCGAGTATTCAATACTGCCACAAGCTGTGCTTGCAGCACAAGTCCAAATCGACAACTTTTAATTCATACAAAAAAGCCAAGAGTATGGTTTCAGGTTATCCGAGGAACATACAACCGACTTGTCATTACGTCGCCTTTACATGAAAATGAATGCGGATAGTTGACCAAGCAACAGAGTGGCTACCCTGTGATGTGAGCATTGCGAATCTGTGTGTTGCACACAGCGCTTACATCGTAAGTGTCTCACTTGTACCTAAGGGGAACAAAACAATAGGCCGCACGAACCAAATGATTATTATGCGTGTGACCTCCACCCACATAATGATTGCAAGCTTATGCGGTCACTACTGCAATGCAAGGTTATGTGAATACAGGGGGTAGATAATGAAACATTCTAGAGCACCGATAACACATCGGTAGTTACCATGTGAAGCGATAATGAATTTTGCTCAGAAGCACAATCTAGGTCAGCGATTAAGTGCAGGTAAGCCACGTTCTCAAAGTGAAAATGAACACGGAATTAAAGCAATGTAAGATCACATGATCCCGATCAAGTCAGAGTATACAAAGATTGGTTTGAGACAAGTAAAATAGTTGCTAAATGGTAGTAGGAATCACAGCCAAGTGATTATTGAACAAGATAAAAGATAACACAAATATAGGGCATTAAAGGTGCTACTTTATTTTAGTAAAATTCATGTTGCAGGGTCAAACCGGATGAACCTGATTGACAAATATTTGTGCCATATTATATTCCTATTCGGCAAGGCTAGGCTATGGTAAGACCGAGAATCAACTTACATCGGTATCAACACATCTCACTCACCAACTCATCAGCCGAACGGTGCTCGAACAGGCGCGCAAGGAATATTGTGGCTAAATTTTTGCACTTGGTTGCAGCGTGCTGTTGAAACATGTTCCAAAAATAATCTACCTTGTCCAGTTCGTCGGAATCCCAGTGGTTGTTCCTGAAGTTCCAACAGTACAAGGAATTCGAAAGCGTGCGGCTATTGCATGTTCAACGAAACACATGTATTGGAGATGAGTTTGTATTAAAAGTGTCCATTTATAATGCATGAAGTTCGTCACTACCTATAGACTGCGGCTGCTCTAATCGAGTCAGCAGAGCAGCTGATTTGAGTTGTCCAGTTGGAATATTTATAAAAAAGCGAACATAGACCAGTTGCAAAATAGCTTTCAGCATTGGTGGTTCTACCAATCAGTGCTCCCTCTGTTAGGTGGACTATTCGGATACAAAAGAAACACACTAAGTATTCGGCGGCGACTACATACTTTAACTATGCTTGATCATATACACCGGCATTTGCGAAGGAAAGAAACTTGACTGAGTAATAAAACGAGCTCAGCTGTAAAAACGTGCACCGTGATCAACACGGCAAAGGCACCAAAATGATAGGGGGCCATCCAAGGACACAACAAGCTATACGCTAATCAACGGCAACCGCCTTAGTATAAATGAGGTGTTTAACAAATAAGTAGCTCAGATGAAATGTGTTTGCGAGCGCTTGAAATACAAATTGTAGCAACGAATTCGATGTATAGGTCTGTGGAGTTGATTCAGTACATGCTAACAAGTTATTGCACTGCAATAATGTCACCGCGCAGAACAAATCAGCACACCATCAACAAACGCGAACCACAAACATTTCGATTTGTTAGAAAGCTTTGGTCATAAACTCTTGGTTGTGTATAACTACACTCTTGACGTCTTCATTTCTCCACAACTGGTAGAGTTTCTGACCATTGACCTAACTGATCCCCAGGCTATCTTCCAAGAGACTAAAGTCCATATTCTTAAGAAGTTATTCAGTCATAATCATCACCTTCTTATGCATCGTAGTCAAATATACACCTCAACTTTTGACCGAAATCGGGGTTTCCTTGACAGAGTAACACTAACGGGTAGTCGGTCGGTATGCATGTGGAAGACTTTTACCAATTCCACAAACAGTTCGAGTTCATTTGGCAATCTAGCGGGATTTAGAAGTAACGGTTATACAGAAATGAGCCCAATTCCCGTTGTTCGGATTTTCAACCAAGCGTGAGCTGTACTTACCTGGCATCACTGGTAAACCGTGGTCACTGTCATAATACCTTCGACGTATAGTGCTGTTTCTAATGAGTATATAACGCTGATCAAACTGGTGTTTTGCGGTTTCCCTAAATGTATCAGGGTTGACTAATGAGTTAAAAATACTCATGAGCCTCACAAATGCACGTCCTAGCCCCTGCGCTGACAGGACCAACAGTGGTGCAACCGCTACATAGGAAAATACAACAAATAACCGTCTTGGCTAATTATTTAGTGCGTGAGAACCAGTCATGTTTTCGTTCGGTCCTGTGGACTGCCATGAACATATCACTCAGGACCAGTGATGCTATACGTAAGACTAGTTAACTGCATCCGAAACAGAGTTGCGTTGGAACAGAAGCGGTATGTTGCTTCTGCGCAGTTGAATTTTGCCAATAGGTGGTACGGTGTGACTTCTATCGGAAAACGTCCCTCTGTAATATCAATTATACATCGGCGCTACTTAGAGGGAGGTAGCGCACATCCGACTGTCTGAAGCGACGCGAGTGGTCATGGTCAGCTGTGTCCATAATAACCGCATCGAATGAGGATCGAAGAGGATAGGTTGTCAGAAGTAATAATGCAGGTCACTGGTACTTTTCAATGCATATGTATAACCTACAATCTGTTTTGCAACCAGAGGTATGTCTGCCACAACGCACAAGGAAGTAGTTTGACGATCTTACTGCATAGTCAGAGGTCCTTTTGAATCATCTATGTCAGATGGTGCGTCCACTGAACCCTAAAAAGCAGCTCTTTGCTGCTATGTGATGAATATGCTTAAAACCCCCTGTTGTAGTTTCTTTTCTACCCAAGCTGTGTTTTGTAAGTACCGATGCAGTGATCTCTTTTATCTACTAATATCACTTCCCAAGCTTGACAATTCTACCTAACACGAAGTATTAGCGACCACTAGCTCACAGTTCAGATCTAAAATAGCACCATCTAAATAAACTGATACTACCTAGAAACTTGGTTTGGCCTCTAGGGATTACTGCAAGATCACAAACTGGGATCCGAAGTAATTTGAGATACTGAAAGCTTGGCTTTGTTGTTAGGTCGCACAAAGAGCTGGACAACCTGACTGCAGATGTTTCGTCATCAGTCGATGTGATATCCTCAGACCAGTAACCTTGGGATTTCGTACCAGTTAGTCGCGGCAGGAACGTTCGGAGATGGATGTAGCCTGGTACTACCGCATCTTTTACATAGATTTCCGCTGTCCATAACTTTACTTTTTTCTGTCTAGATACTCTTTGTGACACACACACAGCTTTTTACCAAGGGCCACAATAAAGTTACTGCGGTGTGGCGAGGATTCTCCCAATTTGCTTGGGGGAGCATGCGAAAATTTAGCATTCTGGGTTAACGTTGACTGTTGCACATTCTCGGGCAAAGGACTGCTTTCTTCGGAATTGCAGTTTTTACTTTGTTTGAGATATTGATGTCTACTTGGTTTGGATCTTGGATGAATGTAGGAAGACGTCACATCATGGCAGCCTGCAAGTCAACCGTGAGACTGACGAGAACACCATAAAATCAGAAGGGAAAACGTGAAGCACAGGGACCGCAAACTGTTGTGAACAAAATAACCTGCAAAAATCTCGAGAGGCGCTGGATGGAGAAAACGGTAATGAAATTACCTATAAGGATACAGAGGCGTAAACGGGCCTAAGAGAAGCGTTACAAAACAGACAGACTACATGCTCTTTACTCTGATCATCACTTGTTTCTTTCGAGCACTAAATTTCGGCACTCGAGGAGACAAACTGCTACCTGACGCCCGCCCTCACAAACGCAAGTGTGCTCCCAGCTTGACCTTCTAGCAATCAGCTAAAGATGGCGCGAAGCGTAACGGACTACCGATTGTACTGGTCACCTTATCTCGACTTCTGATCATGCATTGTCTCATGCTAAGATTTGCATGCGTTTCGGAAGATCACCCAGCGCGGTTAATGCCAACCGGACGTCGTAAAACTACAAAACCCTGCGATTTTAACTAGGTACGAAGTCTCACTGTCAAAATTGCTTGACTCAACTGTTGACGGTGACCTCGATTCGCAGTAGGCGCAGATCAAAGATGACTTAGTTTCCGTCAGTATCGACACTTGTGTAGTTGCTCGTCACCTACCGAAACATTGGGTTTCCGCCGTCTCCTTGTCGCTACTGGACACACGCCGCTTGATCCCGCCGGATTGCAGCCACAGGGAAGAACGCCAATCCCTGGGTAGAGCGTTGCGCAGGAGTCTACAAATGGACTGTGAAGCTTGGTAGTGTGAACGTGCTACGGAAATGGATCTTGTCAGTTTCTCTGGTAAGAACAGTAAACTTTTCCATCTCATTCGAGTCATCGAAGGTGTTCGATCTGGTATAAGTGAAACAATATGCGAAGAGGATGGCACCTTAATCACCAATCTTCAACGACGGTTGGAGCGATGGGCCGAACATTTTGGCGCAGTTTTGTTGGCCCCCAGATCCATCTGCTACTGGCAATCGCACTGGTACCGAGTGGTCTACTTCCAGAGATCCTTACTCTCACCAGGAAATCGAGCAGGAGCTCTGCCACGTAAAGCGTTATAAAGCCCCGGTCCTGATAATCTTCCTCCAGCTCTATTTAAAGATGGTGGCGCTTCGCTAATTCGAAACTGTGATTAAAAGAGGAAGTTCGATAACCTTGGGGTGAATCGGTAGTCGTCCTCATCTTTAAAACGTGCCAGCGCACAATCTACTTCAACTACAGAGGTATAAACTTCGTCCCTGTCGTTTGCAAGCTGCTGATGTCCATCATAATTCTCAGGCTATGCACAAAGCGCGAATCTTTGCAGCGAGAAGTGCAGGCTGGGTTATGTCATGGTCGCGGTCGCCTCGATCAAATTTTCGCACTCCGCCAGACCCTCGTGCTCCGCCATGTGTATCAGAGGCCAACGATTGCTGTGTTCTTGGATGTCCTTGCAGCCTTCGATACTGTCGCTCGGAAGAATGGCGTCCCCGAGAAGTTCGTGTCCATACTGCATGCTCTCTATGGTCTGACCTTGGGCAGAGTTAGGGCTTATGGCAAGCTTTCTCCTTCCTTTGTGTTCTCCAGTGGAGTTCAACAACGATGTCTAATCTCTGCGTTCCTATTCAACTTTGCTATTGAGGATGTCCTAAAGAACACTCTGGGCGATTCGTTGAACTCTGGCGTCGAGCTCCTCCCAAGTAGTCGAGTTGTTGATTTAGTTATGTTGATGAAAATGCCCTGCGGGGTGATGATTCACACACCGTACAGCTTGCACTAAACCGCTAGGCGATTGAAGCATCGCAGAATGGTATGTATTTTCCCCCATTTAAACGCATGACCCTATTTCAAGACTGGCAGGTGCCTGTGCCTGCACTCAACCCTGCTAATATGACACTGAAGGTTGTGGAGAACTTTGTCTACTTGGGAAGTTGCATCACAGCTGGCGCGGCAGTTGGACATGAGATTTCGATGCGCATCTCAAGAGCGCGCCTCGCTTTTCCTGGGCTGAGGCACGTGTGGTGTCTCCAAGACATTCATCTCTCTATCAAACGGCGGGTCAATTGTGCAACTGTTCGTGCTGTACTCTTGTACGGGATCGAAGACGAGATCACGAACCGCATAGCGAAAGCTCGAAGTGCTTTTGCTAACCTTCGCCACCTATGGCGACGGCGCGACATTACTCTCGCCCTGAAGGGTAGAGTGTACAATGCAGCGGTACTTTCGACCTTACTGTACGGTTGCGAAACCTGGCCCCTAAAATCGGCGGACATGAAGAGGCTACTTACGTTCGACCATCGGTGCCTTCGCAGTTTGGCTCACATCTGGTGGGAACACCGCGTGAGTAACGAGCGTGTTCGACGCCTTGTTTACGGCCT